AGCCAGGAAGAGACATTTCTTTTCTTTCCTCCCTCTGGGTATCTGCTCTGAGATGGAATTTTCCGGGGACAGCCAGTGCAGAGGTCTACCGCACAGTCACAGTTGCTGACGGGGACAGTTGGAGAGGGTCTCTTAGTGACCCAGTGTGTGGAAAGGCTGGCGCAGCGGCCCAGAGCCTCAGCCCCCTCCCGCCCCCCACCCCCACCCCTCGCTCCCGTCTCTGCTGCCCTTGGATTGGATTGTGGGCGCAGGAGCAGTTCAATCTCTGCCTGGTGTTGTGTCCTCTGGGACATCTCGGCTGGCATGGCTCCAAAGGGAAAGTCACAACCGATTCCTTCATTCGTTAAGAAATCCTGCTCTGAACTTCTTCACACACAGTTCTAGATAACGCGGAGGTGGTGATAAGAGGAAAGATTGCGCGCACAGAACCAGCACTCTTTTGGGGGAAGATATACAAAAAACAAGGAAAAAAAAAGACAACCTATCACAATGTGCCCCGTGCTATTCCAAACACAACGACGCTCCAAGGAGCCTATACTATGTTTGGTGGTGGGATAGGCGCCTGGAGATGGCAGTTAAGCCACAGTCCGATGACAAAGAGCCATTGAAGGAGGGGTCCACTTAGTGGCGGGAATCAATTTTCAATCAATATGACTGGTTCCAGCCCCTAGTTAATAGCAGCTGAAGTTTACTTATAAAACATTCATGATTCTACCGAACGAACAGAAGTCTAGCTGGTTTAAAGAACAAAATCAACTTTTCTTTTTCACCCCCCCCCCCGGGGGGAGGTGGTTGCATTTTGTTTGAATTTAGAAGTTAAATTCTCTTGTTATGTTTTCTAGGCACCATAATTAAAAGGCCGGCAGAGTAGAAGCTGTAAGCCTTTCAGCATGCCATCTGTATGAACATTAATTAGGTTTATGCATCAATTTCCTCTCATATGAAACGTGTGTCTTGCTGTTCTGATTAGCTCACAGTAGTTATCACAGTATTTCACCTCTTCTTTAATACACCATGGTGGATCCACTTACATCTCATTTCAAACTGTAGCAGAAAGGAGAAACCCAAGCTTTGATAACAGAAGACACAATACTTCTTTGAGATTTTGCTGTTAGCTAGCCAATGTTTTCGATAATATTTGGTTTGATAGTTGATAGTTACTCCTGTGCAGTTTTTTTTTTTTTTTGTCAGTACTGGGGCCTGACCTGGGGCCTCTTTCTGATTTTCCTTTTCCTTGGCGAAGCCCACTGTAGTACTGCTGTTTCCTTACATCCAGACAGCAATAGATTACAAGGCACTTATTAAAGTTAATTATGCTGGGTGAGGTGTTAGCCCTGGGAGTTCTCTTCTCCCTAACCAAGAGGCCTGTTCAATTTCCTTCTTGCAAGGTATTAAACCTACAGAGCAGCACACCCCTAGAGCCCAGATCTATAGAGATGATTCGCTCTCGTTCCCAGCATATCAGGAGGGAATGGTAAGGAGTCCCCTCGCTCTAGCAACGGTTCCCACCGCGCTCTCTGGGCGCCTCTGTGGGAGGAGATCCTGTTTATGGCTCAAACCGCCTATCAACTGTAGGCTGTTATTACTTGAAAGAGAAAAGTCTCTGAGAAAACAGAAGGCAGGAATGCATTCTGGACTTTGATTTTCCCCACATGGATTCCCACCCGTGTGAAGCACTCAAAGCTTTGTAAACATCTTCCTCTTGGACGCGTCCTTCTGAATCAGCAAGTGCTGCTCTTCAGCGCACTGTGGGAAGAACCACATCTCCCTCCTTTCCTTCCCATCTTCTCCGCGGCCACTCTGCTTCCGTGTGTTTCAGAGTCAGCTTCTCATTCCAACTCTGTTCCAGGCTGTCACCTTGGACCTTAAAAGCAGCTACGGTGGGGAATGCACGAAAGCAGCAGAGCAGGACGGAGCTGGCCAGAGCTGGCCATCTTCCCTGGAGAGCTGGTAGATGAACATTCATCAGATCATGGCTGCCAGAGCTCACAGCCCCTGAGCACCCGCTGTCATGTTCGGGGATGTGGACACGGGGTGCCATGAGGGACGCTGTCATTTTCCTTGCCCAGGACTTCTCAAAGTGCTGCCTAGCCAAGTGTGGGTGAGGAAGGGGAGACAACACAAGGCTGGAAAGGCAAGGCGGGTCTGGACCACAAGGGTTTCTTATTGGGCAGACCCCAAAATTTGGACCAAAGACTTTGGAGGAGAGGAATGCCTGTGGATTTGTGTGTCTGTGACGACCCCCTGGGGTCTGGTCTCTGGAGAAGAGGGGGTGGGGCCAACCCTTTATTGTGTGGTTGGATTAGAGCCTATGGGGCTCTGCCCTCTGCTCCACACCTGCCCCCCAATAACTTCCTCTCCACCTCCCAAGTCCTGCCACCCTGTGGGACCAATGAGGGCCTAGCACTGCCTCCACTCCCCAGCCCTGCTTCCTGCCCAGTGACATCTCAATGCTTTCCTGCAGATCTCACATGCTCTCCTGCAGATCTCACATGCTTTCCTGCAGGAGATCTCACATGCTTTCCTGCAGATCTCACATGCTTTCCTGCAAGTGGCATCGCTGGCGCTGTGCCTTGTTCATTACTTATGCCAAAATGTGCCAGGCATCACAAGCATTTCCAATTTACATTCCTTGAATGTTCCAAAGACTCTGAGGTGTGACATAGATGACACGTGACTTTTTTACAGCATGTATCCTTTTAGCTTTGATGGTTCACCGGGAGTCGGGGGAGGTGGGGAGTCATAACCCAAAGCAGTGTGCCCTCTTAGATTTCCAGACTATTTTTAATCTGGAAATTAGGTGGCCTACTTTTTAAAATTTTTCCTCACAAAGCTGTCTGGGAAACTCCACAATGGTTAGAATGAATAGTTCCGGAGGGAGAAGAAACTAAAATAGCATTGAAGAGAAAAAAATTAACAAGTAGAAAGGAATTTATGCTTTTATGAAAATTTAAAGCAGCCAGGCACCTATGGCTCATGCCTGTAATCCTAGCTACTCAGGAGGCTAAGATCTGAAGATTGTAGTTCAAAGCCAGCTTGGGCATAAAAAAAAAAAAAAAACATGTGAGCCTCTATAATTAACCAGCAAAAAGCCAGAAATAGAAGTGTGGCTCAAGTGGTAGAGTTCAGACAGACAGACAGACAGACACACACACAAGCACAGGAAGATACAACTGGACTGTCCAAGTCTGAAGTGAAGCCCTTCCCCAGAGGGTATCCTAAAGATGAGCACTCTACCAAATACTTCTCGACTTTTCTAACAAAATCCAATGGCCTGCACCTATAGAGTTCTAGCTACTCAGGAGACAGAGATTTAAGAACTAGAATTTTGAAGTAGCCTGGAAAAAAGCAAATGCACAAGTGTCTTATCTCCAAATAAGTAGCAAAAAGCCACAAGTGCAATCAGAGGTAGAGCACCAGCTGTGAGCAGAAAAAGCAGAATGAGTGCAAGGCCCTCAGTTCAAGCCCAGTACCACCAAAAGAAAATAAATGAGCACAGGAGTCCTCTTTCTTGGTTTCCTTGATCCTGAAGGGCACGGGTTCTTGGCATTTCCAGGCTTCAGGTGGCTTTAGACACATGGGCCCCAACTCTTACCTGTGTTATCTACTCTGCAGTGAACTGTGGGTAGGTTCTAGAATCAAGGACTTCAAAGTCAGGACCATTTTGGAGAGAAGCAATAGGATCCTCTCAGGTATGAGTGTATTTTAAACCTTCAGCTTTGTCATTTCACCAGTGTGTGCTTTACCGTCTCTGCTTTCCTGGAGCAACAGAAGTAACTAAAGATAATGCAGGATCAAGATGGCTATTGTGCGGGGTGCCCAGGGCTCACACCAGGACAGCAGTGTCCATGAGACTCTTATTTCTAATTAACCCCCAAATGCCAAAAGTAGAGCTGTGGCTGAAATAGCAGAGCACCAGCCTGGAGGAAAAAAGCCAAGGGAAGTCCCCAGGCTCCGAGTTCAAGCCTCGGTACCTGCAAACAAGTAAAAAGATTAGGCTGGTGAGCCTTTGGATCTGAGGGAGGGTTCTGTAGCCATGAAGCCAACCAACCACTTATCAACAGAAACATGACATCATCTGAGTACAGTGACTCTTGGGAGCAGATCCAGGTCAGAATGAGCAAACTATGCTTGAGCCTCCATCCCAACCAAAGGCCGGGTGCAGTGGAGAGACCAGTTACCTGAGCTATGAAAGAAGCACAACTGTTGGTGCAGTGAGACCCTACCTCAAACATTACTAATGCAAGGGGGGCTTGCGGCATGATTCAGGTGGTAGGGCTTTTGCCTAGCAAGTGCTGTGGCCATGAGTTGAACCCCAGCACCATTCCCCCCAAACACCAAAACTACAACTCCCTGTATTTGCTAATGCCTATCATCTTAGCTACTTGGGAAGCTGAGAACAGGAGAATGGCAGTTATAGGCCAGTCTGGACAGAAAGTTATGAGCAAGCCCGCCATCGCGAGCTATGTGAGAAGCTGAGACTGTGAAGATGGACTCCAGACCAACCTAGGAAAACAAAGAAAGTGTGCTGACTGTCCCCTTGTAGTGAAGCTGGTCGCAGAAATGAAAAGCTCCCAAATAACAATACAGTCCACCACTGGGCTAGATGAGCAACCACGTAGAGATGAGTGAAGGCACAGTGCAGCGGCATGGACGTGCGAGGCACGCGGCCGTCCGCAGACGGCCCCGAGCCAATCCCAGGGATGTGGAGAGGAGACTACAAGCAACCAGGCCTGGGGGCAGGTGGGGGGTACAGTTGTGGAGGTGGGAGGGAAGGGATGGCAGGGGAAAAACAGAGGAGGCAACAATGCTGGATAAGAAATGTACTCATCACCTTGCTCATGTAACTGTAAGCCCTCTGTACAGTATTTTCACCATAAAAAACTTAAGAAACCAGGACTAACACCGAAACCAAATGTACAAACACTAACACGTCAGAACAAACAAACCCCCCACAAAAATGATTACCAGTCACTCTGACGAAAGAAACACACAACGTATTAGCTAATATCTTTTATTGTCCGACCTTCAGTGAGCCAACAAACAGTACTTTCACACCATTGTCCACAAGGAATAAGGCAAATTGCATTTTTCTTTTCGAGGGGACTTAGTTGGCCTAAGTCTTTATAATTTTTCCATATAAAAATAGAAGTCCAGATTATTTTTCTCCTGGCGAACATTGCTGACATATTCCCTGGTGCTTTATTCCAGCTCCCATCACGAACCGGGGACGAAGCCCCATGTCTGCTTGAAGCCGCACTCAAGCGCACTCCATGGTGCGGTGTGTGACAGATTGGCTTAATTGTCACCTTTTTAGGAATGCAATGGCTTCTCCATAGTCATCATGGTTTTATATCTGCAATCTATCCACACTGATAGGAGCTAACTTTCAAAGAAAAAAAAACATTTTTTAACTTAATATGTTTACAAACAAAAGACTACAAAATGACTTTGTATTGTTCTAAAAAACAGCACTGGAGCCAGCAGTTTGAAGAGTGGTTTATAAATACAGTTCTCTTGGAAGCTGCAGATCTGTCAGAGTTTCAGCAGATACAGATTGCAGACTTTGCTACATGAACAACAGAACCGAGTCAAAACGTGTCTCCAAAATACAGCAAAGACAGGAAAATCCAGGGTTCCACACTTGTTAATGAAACCTACCTTACAAAGTAACCAAGGGACCGCTGAAGACTCTAGCTACGGAAATATACACACGGACTGTTTACACCATTGCACATCCTTTTTCCCTTTGTGTCTAATGCTCGTGAAATGGTTAAAGTGTTGGGTCTGTGAATGCATGCATGCACAGGCAAGCAGACATGTAAAAGATGAAATTAAGCAAAATGTGAATGCGCGTTCACCAGGAAGGCTGCCAGCAGCGCTCCATCTCCAAATGACAGTTCCTTTCCACTCTCATCTGCCCGCCCTCCCTCTCCCGCCGGCCCCTCCCCCTTGGGGAAGTCAGGCTGGGAAGCTAGTGCATAATCAATGGATAGACGCCCGCTTTCAAGCTCTGCAAATCTCGCTGGAGCGAAGGCCCTCTGGGGTCAGTAGCACAGGTGAGCTCCGTCCGCGCGGGCTGCGGCTTCTATCAGTTAAGGCACTTGCGGCTGCTTTGGTGGCAGCGTGGTTTTTCTCCCCCACTTTCTTTATTAAGGCATGTGTCATGTAAGAGTAGTAAAGCTTTGGAAATTGTGCAGACTGTTAAGGTTGACAGCTTAATACATAAATGTTGACGGGGCGAAGGACCCTCTCTCCCTCCAACAGAGCTTCCGGGTCTGCCCTGGGCGGGGTCAGGGCACTGAGGCCAGCCGGGCGCATCTGACACGAATCCCACAGGCTCAGGGGGTTCACCTGGAGCTGCCCTGGCTGCTCACCGAGCGAGTGGTGCTGTAGCGCTTCTTCACGATCATGCTGATGTAGGCCTTCATGAGCTTGGCCACGTCCACTACCTATGGGGTTGTAGGAGACACATGGACCGGAGCCCAGACACCCTCTGTCCGCTTCCACACAAAAGCTAGGGGCTGCCCAGGCCAATTCACCTGTGCATGGAGCCATGGGCTGAGCTGCTTTTCACCTAGCCCCAGTCAGGCCAAAGAAGAGGCAGGGACCAGCTGGTGGTCCTTTTGTGCCAGGACTGGCGGCCTGAACTCAGGACCTCTCATTCTCATTTGACCTTTTTGTTCAAGGCTGGTACTCTACTACTTGAGCCCTACCTCCACTTCTGGCTTTCTGCTGACTGAGAGAAAAGAGTCTCATAGACTTGGCTGACCAGGCTGGGTCTGACTAGGCTCCTCAGATCTCCGCCTTCTGAGGGGGTTAGGATTACAGGTGTGCACTGTGAGTGCAGACTCCACCTAGTGGGTTCTTGCTCACAAAGAGACTTGGCTAAGCCCGGCGCTGGTGGCTCACACCTGTCATCCTAGCTTCTCAGGAGGCTGAGATCTGAGGATTGTGGTTCAAAGCCAGCCCGGGCAGGAAAGTCCATGAGACTCTTATCCCCAATAAATCACCAGAAAACTAGAAGTGGTGCTGTGGCTCAAGTGGTAGAGTGCTCGCCTTGAGCTGAAGAGCACAGGAACAGTGCCCAGGCCAGAGTTCAAGCTCCATGACCAAACAAACAAATTTGGTTTCCTGTGCACTGTCAGACGTGGGCCAAGAGGAACCACGACAGGACAGGGACACTCAAGTCAGCATGAGGCCTTTATTTCCTGCCCTCACTGGAAATAAAGGTGAAGCATGGAATCAGATTAGCCCTTGGGTCTGGAGCATCTGATACTTCTGGTCCACCTCCCCCCAAGCCCAGCCCACTCTGGTCTCACACTGGCCACATCCTAGAGTGAGGACCTTTGCTCGGGTGCCTTTGATAACCTTCCACCCCTCCCCCATGGGCGGTCCCTCCTCACCGCTGCCTGGGCCTGTGGAAATACCTAACAGACCCTCTGATCACCGTCCCCCCAATTCCTCTGCAGGTAAAATGAGGCCACTTGGTCAGGCGTGCATGAGTGGGGGCACTTACTCCTCTTCTCTGGTTGGTTCTGCCTCTTACCTCACTGGTTTCAAAGAGCAGCTCCCGCTCATCCACCACGATCTTGTATGTGTTGGCCAGAGGGGCCCCGAAGGAGAGGATGTGTTCATACTGGAAGACTTCCAAGGGCCTTCCTTCCCCACGCTTGTAGACCGAGACGGCATCCGCGCTGACGCCCAGCCAGAGCTCCTGGGGAAAGCCGCCTTCCTTGCACTGGTGGACAAGATCATCAGGGTGAGGTTGGGGTTAGTAGCACAGTGACAAAGTCGTGAAGCCATCAGGCAGACCCCGAGGGAGGCAGGTGCTGGCGGCATGCTGTGCGGGGACTGGGTACTGAGGTGGGACCAATGCTGTGCTTTGGGCCTCTTGATGGATTTCTGACTGGGTAACGGGCCTCACTTCCTTGGGGGAGTCTAACAGTGAATGCTGGGCCACACAGGACGGTCCTCGCAGCCACGCTGTGCTGTGGAGGCTTGGCATCACAAGGAGCGGCACGACCTGCCGTGTGTTCAGTGTAGGGATAGATTAACGGGAAAACAGGAGCCTGTGTGCCGGCTGCAACACAGAGCTCATCAGAAGCAGAATGTACAGAACGGGGAAGTTAAAGAGGACACAAGCTACAAAGTGCCTGACTTGTGTTTCTATAAAAACATAACTAAAGCCATCAGCCAACCCACCACACCCCAGACAGCCTCCAAGGAGAAGCAATGAAAAGATTTTAAGAGCATGTAATTGATGTTTGGATTTTTAGGGTCTCAATTTGTAAGTCATCAGATAACATACAGAATGACAATGAACATGAGAAAACAGCTTCTCTACCTGGGGCTGGTAAACTTGCCAGTTCAAGGCTTTGAGGACATGCAAATGACCCATCCCTGCTGATTCTGCATGAAAGCAGCCACGGAGAATACTGACAGGGAAGGAAAGTGACTGTTCTAGTAAAACTACACAAAGGTAGTGAAGCCAGGCACTAATGCTCATTCCTAGAATTCCTAGCTACCCAAGAGGTTGAGATCTGAAGATCGCAGTTCAAAGCCAGCCCAGGCATACAAATCAGACTCTTTAGCTACCAAAAAGATGGAATTGGAGAGCGTAGCTGAAGTGACAGATTGCTAGCTGTGAATAAAAACCTGAGCAATCAAAGGCTCTGAGTTCAAGCCTCAGTACAAGCACAAAACCAACAAAAAAAACCAACAAGCAAGCAAAAACACCAGGATTTGATATATATACCACCCACACATCATTTCATGTGTAGACCGTAAGATTTCCTTTCAGTCAATGGTGACCAATGAAAAGATCGGAATCCGTACTAGACTGATTCTGGCAGCTTGATTCCAATGGTGAAATAGAAAATTCTATATCATTAGATACTATTCCCTTCCAGCAAATCATAAGTCCAAAAAAGAAAGGGGAGAGGGAGGAGAAAAAGAGGGAGGGAGAAAGAGAAAGAAAGAGTGAGAAAGAGAGAACAGATTTAACCACCCTAATCCAAAAATCTTTAGTCAGAATGATCTAAAATCTGAAACCTTTTCATAACCAACATGGACGAAGCTCAAAGAGACTTGGATTTTGGTGCACTTTAATTTTAGATTTCCCGATTAGAGATACTGAACTGGTGAAGACTATTTGAGCACCCTGAAATCTGAGCAATTTCTAAGATCTGAAACACTTCTGATCGCAGTGTTGGAGACAGTGATATATGCAACCTGTATATCCAGGTTTCTAATTTGCATAGAATTCTAAAAAGTATGTATGTATGTAATTCTAAAAAGTAAAATAAAGATTAAAGTGCAGATTTTTTTTAACCTACATTAAAAAAAAACTAGATCTATAGCTTCCACAGAAAAAGTACTTGTTATTTAAAAACACAGGTCATTAGTTGGGCACTCAATTACTAATTAAAACAAAAATAGAGGAAAAAAAAAACTTTCTCAGGATGTGAGTGTTCACGTGGCCACTGGAGGGGCTCTCATGAAAGAGGCAAAGCAGGAGTCCCCGATCCCTGCCCTCCCCCCCGCAGCTCCGGGAGCACACGCCCCACGGCAGCTGGCTCTCACCTCCACGTCAAAGAGTGCTGACCCATAGCCCGGCCACTCCTTGATCAAGGCCATGTACTGAGCCATGGCCTGCTCCTGGTTCATTCCCTGCAATTTCTTCCACTTGTCGAGGATGCTGGCTCGGGCTGAGCAGACCTCTTCCTTAATCCACATGTCCAGCATCTGCTCCTCCTCCATCTTCTGCCTCAGCGCAGTGCCGGTCCGGAAGCTCCGCCTCAGGGTCCCCTCCAGGAAGCTCGTCCGCCTCTTCTCCAGCCGCTCGCACGGGGTGAAGCTTTTGGTGGACTGGCTGATCCGGGACTTGATCCTCTGCAGGGAGTAAATCTCCTCGAGAGGCGGGATGGCGGCGTGTGGCGTGTAGTCCCCCTGCAGGTACTGGAGCCTCAAAGCGGCGAGCACCTGGAGGTTTTCTTCCGGGGCTGGATGGTGGCCGTGGATGACAGCTTCGTGGGCCTGAAAGGAGGCGGGGACCAGCTCTGTGCTCACGGCGCTGGGGTAGCCCGGATGTCCACCTCCCAGCCCTGTCACCCAAGCACTCCAATGTCACATCCCCGCCTTCCCCGCTTTACACCCTCATCCTCGCTCTCTTTAAGCTTGAATTTCTCCTAGCCCAACAATCAACTAACGCACACTGGATCTTCTATCCCTACGGTGTCTCTCCTTCCAACTGGAACAGTTCTGGGCAAGGGAGCGTGGGCAAACTCCACAACTGAACAAAAGAGCCACAAGGCCCATGTCAGGCAATCTACGGTCCCTGAGCATGATTTCTAAGGACCAGCAGTCAGCTCCAAGGTGCGGCTGCATTTTCACTGCTGCTCACTAGTAAAAGAATCTAAGAGCTCCTTTCACCTGTTCAAACATGAACGCAAACTCCACGCTGTCTTTCGGCACGTTGTCGGTGTCCAGGAAACAGTAGAGTTTGAAGTAGAATTTCCACGGCAGGTCCCCCGCTTCTGATGTAGCAGCCAACCTAGACACGAAGGCACGAGAGACTCAGAGCCAAGGAGAGATGGGCCGGGTCCTGCCAGGGGGGTGCCTGCCTTTCAGGAGGTGACACAGTGTGGGGTGGGGCAACTTCAGGGTGGGGGAGCAAACAGTCAGCAAGGCTTAGACTCCTCTACTGAAAGCTGAGACACAACCTGTTCCACCCAAAAAACCCCACCAATTTCCACATGACACCAGTCTAACCAGTAGGCTAAGTCTTATGCTGAACCCACAACTTATTTCCTTTACCAGCCTTTAAATAAATTACAACAACACTGATTTAAAAAAATTAGTAAGAATGTTCCTGCATTCTCGGGGCCTGCACTCAGATAGAGGAGCGCCTATCGCATTGCTGAGGGGACCTGGAGTTCAAGATCGAGCACTAGAGGGCGCATTTCACCCTGCAGAGAGGGCACTGTGAAGACCTTCAAGTTGGTTTCAATCTAGCATTTCAAAGCTTATGATAAGAGAACACCTTAACTATCAGGAAATTCCAAGACAGCAAATATAGCAAGAGGCTGAGAGAACGAAGGGGGAAAGGACCAGCGATGAGGCAAGCCACCTTTGAGACCCTGGCTTTTACCAAGCAGGAAACACAGCTAGCAGCAATGGAAAGTTAAACAGACCTCAACCCGGGTCAATAAAAGTAACTCAAACACACAGTGACGCCAAACAGGGAGTGGAAGTTCAAATCTGCACATTGGGCTCTTCATTTTTTGTTTGCTCTTCCTGTACTCTAGGAAGGAGGAACTTACTTTTCAAACTTGGCTAGGACATCAGCCACAATGGTCCGGCTTTCAATGGCTTTGTCCACATGGCCGTTGTACTCAAACAGGGCGAACATGTTCCGGCTGTCTTCCATGGCGAGGCCTCGGATCAGCTTCTCCACGACCTACAAGATACATTGGGAAGCCGCCATTCAGCTTGGGGACTGGGGTCTACACACTTCTAGAATGTGCTTGCAAAATGTTCTAGAATGTGCCTTCATCTGGACCCAAACATTTCTGTGGCCGTGAGAATGACTTCCTGAAACTGTCACAAGTGTGGGTACACTAAAATCTCAAGCATGCCGTCTCCCCTCCCCCCCAACCAATGGTGCCTGCAAACAAGGATGCTTCTACACAAGACAGCTGTGGGCTCTTGCTGCACAACTTCCCTGAGTTAATATACGTGTGGCTGGCATGGTTATTTACTCCCTTGTTTACAGAGCAGTGCCTCCCTGAACCTAACAGCTTTCTAGTTACACATGACCTCGCTGACTTAGCAGCAATGGGAACATGTGCATGGAGCGTAACAGAGGGGCCGCCCTCCCTCACCTCCCCTGCAGTGGTGTGGGAGTTGATGGTGATCTTGCAGCAGCCGCCGCCATGGCAATACACCGTGGACGTCATCTCCTGCCTGTGGATGAGCGCTTCGATCTCATCTCGAGAAGGGACAAACTCTCTGCATTTGGTTTTCTTAAGAGACTCGTAGATGAACAGGGCGTATTTTTCCATCTCGGTTCCTGGAAACTGTTCCCGAATCCTAGGAGACAAAGGTGAGCTGTTAACATAGAAGGAAGCCAGCCCGAGGTGGTGAACCGCCCCCTAGTGGTAAAGGGGGCCAACAGCAGCCGCTTCCTGCTCAGGCACCAGTTCATTCCTGGGCATTTATTTCAAACAGAAAAAAATGAAGAGCCAGCGTTTTGCTCGCTGCAAGGGTGCTATTAAAACACTAACTGTGTTCATATTATCCTAGGAAAGTTAAATTAAGATTTTAACTCCTCTTGTTAAAATGCACGCACGCGCGCACACACACAAAACCTCTGTGAGATGACACAGGTTAATTTGCTTCACTGTATCAACCACTTTTACTTCTAACTGCATCTTGTAACAAGCTGTATACCTCAGATAGACACAACAAAATTTATTAAAATGAACAAAATTAAAACTCAAATATTAAAAACCCTAATCAGAAGGGTTGCCATCTCTTTGATCTGCAGGAAATACCTAAGTTAGATTGGGTGCGGATGGCCTGGGCCTGTAGGCTTAGCTACTCAAGAGGCCGAGATCTAGAGGATTGTAGTTAGAGGCCAGACTGGGCAGAAAAGGCCTTGAGACTCCATCTCAAAAATTATCAGCAGAAAGCTGAGCTTCAGACGTGGCACAAGTAAGTAACAGGATGCCAGCTGAACAGGCAAGCTGAGCAAGTGTGAGGCCTTCAGTTCAAACCTCAGAACTGGCAAGAAATACATTTAAGTGAGACAGATTAGTGGCAATTAAAACACACCCAACATTCACAGGGTGCGGGTGGCTCATGCCTGTAACTCTAGTTTCTCAAGAAGCTAAGATCTGAGGATCATAGTTTGAAGCCAGCAGAAGCAGCCAAACCTGAGACACTCATCTCCAACTAACCAGCAAAGAGCCAGAAATGAAGTTTGTGGCTCAAATGGTAGAGCACCAGCCTTGAGTAGAAAAAGCTAAGGGACAGTGCCCAGGACCTGAGCTCGAGCCCTACTACTGGGATGACCAATTTTGATCGATGTGAATCAATCCATTGATCAATAGACTCAAACTTCTTATGCTCCCCAATACAACGTTGTGCAGCTGCAGGGAAGCGGGTGTGCCATGTCCTGCAAGCTTGCTGGACACAGCGGAGTCTCAGCGTCTGGCCCCCGGCCTCCCAGAGGCTGCTAGGGACCCAGCTGTGAACTGCGGCTTCCATGTGGACGGCTGAGTCCAGCTCCCCCGGCCACCTACGCGCTTTACCTCTTCAGGTGGAACTTGAGGTACTTGAGGATCCCACGGCTGGGCAGGAAGGTGCAGCTGAGGCACGTCAAGATCTGCCAGCTGTAAAGGTTACCCACGCTGCCGGGATGGGGCACCTTGTTGGTCTGCTTGATGAGCTGGCAGTAGAGCTCGTCCCGCAGAGGCCGGAGGTCATGGCCCGTCTGCAGGATGCCCTGGATGATGGGGATGGGGTCAGACATGGACTCCAGTTGCTGCAGGGAATTGAAGATCTTGATGGCTTCGTCCTGGAGGGTTGTGTAGCCTTTGTCTTTGAGCACTAGGGAGAGAAGCAAGACAAGTCACACAAAGGGCTCTCGGGCAGCGTGATCTGTGCAGGAGAGAAGAGGAATGGGGACAGGCAACCATTTCCTGATGGTGCCAAACCTACACCCTGGACGTGAGTCTACTCAATTCAGGGGCAAAAGCACGTCCACGGATGAGCTGCCCCACTTATTCTACTGCTGGCTTCTGTAGTACAAAACAACGCTTCATTGCAAAGCTGCTGTGGGTGAATGGGTCCTTGGAATGCAAAGATCCATTTCTGGGGTACAGATGACCCTCGGTTTAAGATGGGGTCATCTCCATCATGACTAGAAACCACTGAAGGCAAAAATGCATTAAGATACCTAACTGTCCAGCACCACAGCTAGCTTTCAATGTGTTCTGAAACTCGTATGAACCCAGAGCTGGGCAAAAGTCACCTAGCGCACAGCCTGTTTGCTAATGACGTGGGGAAGAGCTAAGGGATTTCTTGAATGCTGTGCAGACAATGGTGAATAGCAATGTCTGAGGCCAGCATCACCACAAAGCCCACGTCCACCGCCGCGGCTCAGACACCGTCAGACCACATTCAAGGAGAGTCCAGGTTCTCCCACATCCTCTCTTTAAAAAAAATTTTTTTTTTCTATACAGAAACATCAGTAAAACCAAGCCCAAGTCCATACTGCAGGTATGAATCTGAGTATATTCTACCTCTGCCCCACCCCCACAGCTTTGAGTGAAGCCAATGCTATGTTAGCGCTGACTAACGAGTTAGTTAATGGAGAAAACAAGCCTGAAGATGCTGCTGGAAGTGCTAACTTACAGTTGAGATTTATGTCTCCGTAGGGCAGGGGCAGGAGCGGGGAGTGCAGGGGGTGGTGTGTGTATCGGAGGATGGGGTTCCGCTTGTAGATCTGCTCCACCACGTCTGCGTTCAGGCAATTCTCCTGGAAAGCAGAGCAGTCATTGGAAGAGAACAAGGGAGGGAGCATGCGAGAACATACATCTACCTGAGTACTTGGTCGGTCGTGGAGCTTGAACTTTGGGCTTGGGCGCTGTCCCTCAGCTCTTCAGCTCAAGACTAGCACTCTACCACTTGAGCCACAGCACCACTTCCGGTTTTCTGGTAGTTAATTGGTGATAAAGGGCCTTTCCTGCCCGGGCTAGCTTTGAACTGTGATCCTCCGATCTCAGCCATCTAAGTAGCTAGGATTACAGGCGTGAGCCACAGCACCCAGCTTGCCTAAACCTTTTTAACAACACAAACTGTAGGAATAAGTCGCATGGGGTTGAGGGTTTCATGCAGGCAGTTTTAAACACAGTAGAACCACAATCTACATTTGAAGATGAAGACACGTTATAGAAATACAGGACCCTTCCTTTTCTTTGTTCCATGTGTGTATGTATTTCTCCTGTGTTATCAAAGCTTCTCCTCTAGAGCTGAGGTATGCTTCCAATATTCACCTCAATGCCTCATCTAGTGACCTGGCCATCAATCATGTAACCAGATCACACGACTTCCATCCACAGTCCATTAAAAAAACATTTATTTATTTAGGGTTGGTCCTGGGGCATGAACTTAGGGCACTGTGCCTAAGCTTTTTTTGCTCAGGGCTAGCGCTCTGCCACTTGAGCCATACCCCCACTTCTGCTGTTTTGAGTGGTTAAGTGGAGATCAAAGAGTCTCTCAGATTTTCCTGCCTCAGCTGGCTTTGAACTGTGATCCTCAGATCTTAGTCTCCTGAGTGACCAGAATTACAGTTGTGAGCTACCTGCACCTGGCTATATATATTTTTAAAGCTAAAAATGAGACGATTTGTATTCAGTGCACTGGGTTCCACAGGAAGCTTTAGAAGGTTAGAATGTGTGACTGGCTAGCATTTGGCTCCAAATTCCCAGAAAAAATTTTGGAGTGAGGATGTGTTTTAGAAGTGGTAGGAGTTCCGCGGATGATGCACTAGCATGCCCCACCTCCACCGCAGGAGAGTTTGCCTCCTCCTGCCTATTGGCTACTTTATTTTTACTGATGTATCAGTAAAACACGCCCCAGCTCCAGCTCTCTCTGCCCTCTGCTGTCCTGGGGTGGAGACAATGGATACAATCCTTTCCAATCACTGCTGCTGGGCTGGGCCCCAGGGACGGACAGATCTGTGAGTGACCCCACCATAATACCTCACTCCCCATTTCTGCTCCTGGGGAGAGCGTGACAATCCTTCAAGGTGCGTGCATGCATGAGGAAATCACAACAATCTCTCAATGTTAATCCAGACACTTGGGGCTTCTTGGCAGAATAGGGATTGCAAATGCTCCAGAACTATCTATACTTCTCGTGACTCCCTTGTGTGGTCTAGAATTGCTTTCACTGCTTGAAGGTTCCCAGTTGGAGTTGAAGTGGACCCTTGCTGGGACATGGTCCCTACGCCAGGTCACACCCGCAGGCCCACTGTGAGGCCCGCATCCTCGTGGCTTAAGAGTCAGAACTCAAGATTAATCATATGATGATAAAATTCAAAGTCGAGCCAGCCAAGAGCCGAGGGTCCTATGGCCCCGGGCAGTCTCTGTGACCTACCTTGATATCTTGGATCAGCTGCTGGGTGGGGGTGTCGATAGGGGCCTTGGTGTCTGTGACGTTTTGAATGGCGCTGGACCATCTGGTAGCTTCGTTGAGCAGCTTGGTGTAGAGCCGGTAGCAGTGCTTGCGCCCGTACACCGTGACGTTCCAGTAGCCTGTGTGGGCAGCGACAGAAGTGCATCAACTTAACAGGTATCCAGTGAGTAATGAGAAACAGACGGCCCTTGCTGGACATGGTGGCACCTGCTTGGAATCCCGGCATGGGGGGAGGCAGAGGTAGGAGAATCCAGAGTGTGAGGCCAAAATGGACTAGAGTTCAAGGTCAGCCTGGGTTATACAGTGAGACCTTGTCTTAAAGAGCCATAGACTGAAAATGTGGCCAAGTGATAGGGTTCTGGGGCTTGATCCCTGCACTGGAAAGAGAAAGACAAATATTCGGGCAAGAAACTCAGAATTATTAAATACATCAACTGTCATACTGTCTCTCAAAGAAAGAGCAGGGACAGGTTAAGGTCTCTTTCTAGGCTTTGCTGAGAACCTCGCGACAGTCTGACTTCCTTCCACCTGATGCAGACCTACAGCCTGCGTGGTCGCAGGTAAGACAGGAGTTCACCATCCAAACACAAACGGGGTGACCATGTTTTCCACATGCACAAAATTACAACCAGAAACAAAAACCAAAGGAAACACGGTACCGTCAACCAGCCAACACTGCTAGGTGTTGACACTCGCTTCCCGCTGCTCTCGGTCAAGTTCACCAACAGTCAGGACTCAGCTACGCTAAGGTGCACAGAGTCCTTCCCCAGGGGAGCACGCGCAAGCACCCACAATGCAGAGCTTCCCCAAGGAGGCGCCATGTCTACTGACGTGCTCTTCTCCTTACCAGGGTCCTTGTGTACCTCCGGACATCGTCCCTGTGGCTTAAATACCAAATATCCCTTCAGCAAGCACAGACGTCCAGGAGGCCAGGGGGAGGGACAAAGCACGCGCTCTAGCAAGCACTTCATCCGCAGCCAGGCTTTACCTGTCTCTTTGAATATCTTCTCATCGGGGGGCACGACCGAGCACAGGCTGTTGAGAACCAGGTTCCCCAGCTTCGGCGCGTTCTTTTCTGAGCTCTTGTAGTAATCCAGGGAGTTGTGCGTCAGGACAAACCACCGCTTCTTCAGTTTCAGTGAAGACATCTTTGGACTGTTCTTGGCTTCTTTGTGTAACCACCCTGGAAGGGCAGACATAAGTGTGAGCCAAAAAAATGAGAGAGGCTGGGGGTGGAGCGCAGGCACGCCTGCAATACACACGCCTGCAATACGCACGCACGATCCCCTGAGCTCCAGTGCCAGCACCGCATAATACCTAACCACAAAAAAAGCCAACAGAAACAACAAAAACCTACGGGCACCAGTTGCTCACACTTGGACTTTTAGTTACTCAGGAGGCTGAAGAGATGGAGGATCATGTTTTGAAGCCAGCCTGAGCACACACACACACACACAAAAGTCTTCCAGCTTCTATCTCTAGAGAGAACCAGCAAAAAACCCACTGGAGATGTGACTCAAACGGTGGAGCTAGTCTAGCCAAGCAAGCTTAAGGCCCTGAAATCAAACCCTGGTATGGGGGAATGGGGGAGGGAACCCTATGAAGAGAAACCCTAAGTACCATGAACTCATTTGCACGGGCTGCATTTCTACCTTTATGCTACAAGATGGCGACGTTTTACTTATGACACTTGCAAGTGTCATGCCAGGAACAGTGGCGACATGCCTGAATCCCAGCTTCTGGGAAGCACAGGCAGGTGGAGCAAGAGTTCAAGGCTACAGGAACCCTCTCAACAGAATAAAACAACACCCCTCCACTCCCCCTCCCCCGCACCCCCTGGAGAAGCCACAGCAAGGCGTGCGCAGGCCAGAGCTAGGGGAGGTGTGAGGGGTGGTCACCTCACCTCTCACGATGAACTCCTGGCCCTCCACCCTTGTGTCCCCCTTGCATCTCTGCAGCAGCGTGATCCAGTGGTGCATCTCCTCTGGGGTGTCGGCGTTGCAGTGCAGCACCCGGTTGGCCGTGATGATCACGAATGAATTGGGTCTGAGCAGTGGGGAACAGAAGAGAATAAGGGCTCTCAGCAGCAGCGGCCCATCACCCTGTCTGCCCCGAGCCTGGTCCTGGGTCACAGGAGCCTCACTGCTATCCGATTTGTATTTTATATCAAGGCAAACCTTACTCATTTCTGCAGGATTTATTTTATGCATCATTAACCTTTAAACTTGGAGCAGCACATCCATTTGGAAGGTCTTGGGAGGGAAAACATTTCTTCATGCAAAAAACTTTCCAGAAGAAACTCAGTTCCGGGAAGGCTAAATAAGGTGACCATGGGGGAAAATTTTTTTTTGAAGTTCCTCCAAAGTCAATTTCTCCCTGCTTCTGGACACGCCATGGATACTATTTCCATCCGTAGAGAGTGAAATATCAGACACTGGTAAAAGAGGACCGGGAAGCAGGTATTCAAGTGGATATCTTCTGTACTTGATTACAGAAAGCTAGCAGGGCTGGTGCCAGCGGCTCAGGCCTATAATCCTAGCTACTCAGGAGGCTTAGATCTGAGGACCACCATTGAATACCAGCTTGGACAGGAAAGTCCATGCATGAGACACTAATCTCCAACTGGTCAGCAAAAAGCTGGAAGAGCTGCTACTCTAATGGTAGAGTACCTGTCTTGAGTAAAAATCTCAGAGACAATCCCTAAGCTCTGAGTTCAAGTTCTAGTATCAGAATTTTGAAAAATGTATGTACTCCAATAAGGATACATTTCTCGGAGCTGGGAAGGTGGCTCAGTGGTATGAGTGCTTGCCTTGCATGCATGAGGCCCTGGGTTCGATTCCTCAGTACCACATAAGCAGAAAAAGCCAGAAGTGGTGCTATGGCTCAACTGGTAGAGCACTAGCCTTGAGCTGAAGAGCTGAGGGACAGCGCCCAGGCCCAGAGAGTTCAAGGACCCGTGACCAAAAAAAAAAAAAAAAAAGGATACATTTCTCAGTCAGGGATGAAGTTGGGAAGAAGTGAGGAAGGGTACTTAAAGTCTAATAATAGCATTTTATAAGAGGTTTATAAAAGCATAGACCATCCCATGCCCAGCCTGCTGGACACTAAAAAACGTTAGAAATCCGATGAATACTCTCCATGTACATCATCAAAACTCTTTCCAAGTTCTTGTTCTTCTTTCTCCTCCTCTTGCTCCTCCTCTTGCTCCTCCTCTTCTTCTTTATCATCATCATCACTTTGCTGTGTGGTTAAACTCAGACCTTGTGGCATGGTAGCAGGCATCTATCTTGTGTCAAACCTCCAAGCCCTTCAAGTTCATTATTAAATTTAGAGGAAAAACTCCAAACGCTCCCTGGACTAGAATACCATTTCCCTAAACAGTTGTTTTCTATCTGTGTTTCCCTAGTTTATCTCTCCATTCACACGCCCAGTGAAGCAGCCATGGCTCAGCACAGAGGACTGTGGTGGCTTGGAGCTTACCTATCAGGGCTGTCGGAGGCGCACACGGAATCGATCAGTCCCACGTCCAACGTGCCCTGAAAAGGAGCAAAAAATGGCCAGTGAGAGAAGCCATCAGCAGGACACTGCAACACCTAGACTACAACACCCTGAACACACCAAGCCAACAAGCAGCAAAGAACTATGCAGTAATAGTTATCGCATAGTCCCTCCCACACAGCCTCAAGACAGGGTGGAAGCGGCAGACCGTTGTCAAGCATTCTGAAGCTCCACTTGTAATCCTGGTTACTCAGGAGGCTGAGATCTAAGGATCTTGGTTCAAAGCCAGCCTGGGAAGAAAAGTCTACCAGACTCCATCTCCAAAATAACCAGCGAGAGCTGGGCTGGAAGCATGGTTCAGGTGATGGAGAGCCAGCTGAGAATGAAAAGCGAAGCAAGAGGGTGAAGCCACGAGTTCAAGGCCAAGGACCAGCAGCAAAAATAAAAAATTTAAAAACGAAACAAAAAACAGGAAAAAACCCCACATGATCAAGTCATCATTCCCTCTTATTCTTATAATATTGTCAGGGAAGTAGTGCTGGTGAGCTCTTTCAATAGTATACATGTTCTGGTCTAAACTATGATATTTCATTCTAATTTTTTTGGCCGGTCTTGGGCTTGGGCGCTGTCCCTGCACTCTTCAGCTCAAGGTGAGCGCTCTACTGCTTGAGCCACAGCACTACTTTCAGTTTTCTGGTGGTTTATTGGAGATAAGAGTCTCACGGACTTTCCTGCCCGGGCTGGCTTTGAACTGTGATCCTAGGCTCAGACCTCAGACTCCCGAGTAGGTAGGATTACAGGCGTGAGCCACCGGCGCCCGGTTTCTAATTTCTTAAAATAGAATTTCACCCAGTTTTTATGTGTCTGGAGAGAAAACAGTACAACTTAGAATTCACGCAGTCTTGGGGCTGGGAAGGTGGCTCAGTGGTAGAGCGCTTGCCTTGCATGCATGAGGCCCTGGGTTCGATTCTTCAGCACCACATAAGCAAAAAGAAA